AATAAGCAACAAAGTTGATTCTTGTTTGATTACGACATCCCTAATAATTACTTAGCGGTGTCAATGATTTTAGAATTAAAGAAAATTCTGCATCGTCCAATTAAAAGGGTGATATAAACTTGTACTACTTTGTGTTGTATGGATTTTTGAGTGATACGGCAAACGGATGTAGAGGATATGTATGTAGGATTTGCGGACATCCTTTTAATTGAAATCTCCCATTCATTTTTTGCGGGATCCCCCAAGATAACCATCATTCAGCTCACCTGCCGGGAGTGGCCGTCACGTGACCAACCCGGAAGTCAGGCTTGAAAAGAAAATAGGAACTTCGGAAGTTCCCTTGTGGTGTGTGGCGGTTTCTCCAGGCCAAAAGAACTTCGCAATCTTCCCTAGAACACTTTAAGGTAAGTCAGAAAAGTCTTGAGATGTTGTAGGTAGATCCAGGGTCTTGTGCAAGGTTCCTTCTTGACTTCGGAGCACTTTAGCTAGTATTTGTTTTAAATTAACGCCGTGGCTATATACACACCGGGTGTGTATATAAAAGACAAATAGATTTTATATACACACCGAAATACTAGCCTCCTTGATAGGCCCAAAACCTGGGTTTTTGTGAGTGTTTGAGGATTCAGGGGCACCAAGTTTAAACCTCGGTCTTCAAGTTTATCTTAGTCGATGATGAAAATCAAAAAACAACACGGAAATCCCCACCGAAGTTCGAAACACAGGGACTCGGCGGTCAGAGATCCGACCGCCCGGGCGGTGCGGCCGCTCGTCTCTGTGCCGACGGTCGAGTGGAGAGCGGACCGCCTGCGCGGGGCCCGGGACCCTCCGCTCCCGGCGGCGGCGGCGAGACCGGTCGCCCGCCCCTGGCGTCCTCGCTACCTGGTTGATCCTGCCAGTAGTCATATGCTTGTCTCAAAGATTAAGCCATGCACGTGCAAGTTTAAACTGTCTCAGTGAAACTGCGAATGGCTCATTAAATCAGTTATGGTTCCTTTGATCGTCACATCCTACATGGATAACTGTGGTAATTCTATTTCTAGAGCTAATACATGCGAAAGAAGCGCCGACCTCACGGTCTGGCGTGCATCCCGGGGTTCGCCCCGGTCCCTTTGGTGACTCTGAATAACCCACCGACGACAGCTCATTCGAATGTCTGCCCTATCAACTTTCCGGTTATGTATATAAAAGACAAATAGATTTTATATACACACCGAGTGTGTATATAAAAGACAAATAGATTTTATATACACACCGGGTGTGTATATAAAAGACAAATAGATTTTATATACACACCGGGTGCTGAAAAATCCACGCGAATAAAAAAAACATAGCAATCACTCAAACGCAAATCACTCAAACGCTATTGGTCAATATGCCACCTTGGTAGACTTGCTAATTGTAATTGACAGTCAACACCTGCTGTGTATGATGAATCTGACGTCATCAATGACTTTCTGATTAAATCAAACTCGCTTCGGATGGTTAGCGGACATATTTCACCACTTTGCTTACCATCTCCACCGCCTTATTGAAGTTTTTCCCCGAGGAGTCCACTACGTTGTATCTGTCCAAGGACGCTCGGAGACAGTTCTAGAAAATAGGTTTGTACAATTTTTGTTGTTACCAAAGTAGTAAGTAAAAGAACTTTTAGTATAATGTTCCTAAAAAAATTGTGGGGACTACATGTGTATCCATGATATATATCAACGCAATCCTACGTTACAAGTATACCAAAATTGATAACACTACTTAGCAATAATTAATGGTCGTGGACGAGGGTGGCGGGGAAACAGGAGGGGGGGCCCAGTTATCATTAAACATGTCCAACACTCACCAGAAGGACTATTTTTTTAAACTAAAAAACGTACATGTAACAACTTCCATGGGTATTCCATGTCTGCTGAACTTTTGCTTGCATTTGTGTATCACATTCCTGGCTGTGGTATTCTGGTGTAGTACGTCTAGCTCCCAGTAGTCTGAGTAGTTATCTACTGTTACCAGGTAGTGTTGGTAGTGTCATCAGGTCCATCGCGCATATCGACACTGCTCAACTCTGAGTTGGATGCGGCATGAGCGGTTCCCTCTGCTGCGTCGGCTCATATTTATTTATTTTTTATTTATTCTTTAATTCAGGCCCCTGGCCCATATCACATTGCGAACAGACAGACAAAAATAAATGGAGGCGTGGTAACAAACACATTAAATAACACCTCGATAATCTAGCTATCCTTAAAGAAAATAAACTACTTAAAAACTAGGTAAATGTATTACTGCCTCCAGAATGTGCTGAGGTAGTAGCCGTCAGAGTGAACTAGCGTAGAGATGATCGTATTGTCACTATGAAGTAGCCGAGTGACAAAAGAATACAATTGTTTCCTTCGTCTAGCGTCAAAAGTGTCGATTCCGAGGTTGGCAAATAACTGGCTGTTGCTAGTGCTTCTGCGTACAGAGAGTAACAGCTTCAAGGCGCTGTGGTACGCCACTCGCAATCTAGATACCATACCCACACTATAATCTGACCATATATGGGAGCAGTACACAGGAGTACATGAGTTCATAGGTTTTGCAGACGTCACATCGTCCGATTCTTTCTCGCAGTTGTGCACTCATCCCTGGCCAGAATATGGTTTCTCTGGCTCGTCTGATACATGCTTCTGCTCCTTGGTGGCTGCCATGTGTCTTCTGTATCGTCTCTTCTCGCAGCTCTGCTGGGATGACTATCGCTTGTCCCTTGTATATAGATGTCATCGTGCATGCTGATTTCATCTCTAAAGGTCCAGTAGTCTCGGATTTCTTTCTTCAGCTGCGTTTTATTGTCACACCCAATCATACTACCCAAATTTGAAAAAAACAATCACTTAACCCATATCATCAACTTTTAGGTGTTTTAAGCTTCCCCCAGAATATGCTGCCCCGGACAAACTAAAACTCCAAATCCATCGATGAGGAACTGGTATTGAAATAGTTTTTGCATGAGCTAACTTTTGCTTCATTACATTATCAGGTGGTTGCATATACTATTTAGTAACTCTGTTTTAACTTTGAAGTAACACTAACAGATTGTTGGAAGGGGGGAGGAAATATCTGCCCTGCATTGCCTTTGTCAGGAGGGCTAGCATTTTATAATAGCCATCGTCTGCACATCTTTGTCAATCAAACCAATAAATGAACAAATGAATCAACGATTGACTTACTGTGTATACATGTGAACGTCAACAAACTCTGTACAGATTTTTTTCTGATCGCCACATACTTCAAAATAATCATCAATTTCATATCAAGGAAATGCTAGTATAGTTCATCAAACCCACCTGCACACAGTCATTGTTTTTGTCGTCAATACATCTCGAGTACAGCTGCGCGAAGTTATCTTCTTCTTGTACTTCAACGCACGTGTCAACCACCTTCTTCTGGCCACGAAAAATCATCACAAACAGTGGCTTTTTCGGATATCTCTCCAATAAGTGGCTTTCCTAGATCTTCCGCCACCGGCACGGTTGTGACTAATCTACTCTACTCTACCCCACCCCGGCCTTCGTCAACAGAAGTTCACCCTGCCGACATTTTTCTTCTAAAACACTAATAGACTACTCATTTGATGAAGATAGGTTTTCAGAATGCATGCAGTCTGAGGCCTACAAGTGTCCCATTTGCAGATCAATATTGTACTTACCAGTCATCACTAACTGTGAACATATCTTCTGTTTCATGTGTTTGCAGCAGACATTCACCCAAACTGACAAATCAACCATTAACTGTCCTGTATGTAACCAGCAAGTGCCACAGGGTCAGGTCATTCCTTGTCATGTCAAAAAGGGTGTAGGCCTTTCTACGGTGCTTACCTTCAAACCCCTTTTGAATGTAAGACCTGCAAAGAACAGGATAAACCTCTAAAACTCAGATTGGACCAGCTGAAGCACCACACCTGTACACCTCCTTTAGTTGACAAGACCTCACCTTGTGGCAGCTCCACCAGTTCCCATCCTAATCCTCCCAGTGCAAGTCATCCCACAACAAGTAATAGCCCAGGCAACACCCCAACCCCCCACAGTACCTATAGCCCCTCCACAACCCCCCGCGGCGCTGGCGCTTGTTGCTCAAAACGCTAACACCGGCCCTGGGGACCTCAGTAAGTCCGGTGAGCTTAGCGCTGACGAGCAACAGGTCGCGACCAGTCTTGTCAGGCGGCTGTATGATAAGACCACAGGGAGTCTACCATGCAAGACTGGAGGCCAGGTAAGAATGAATACTCTACACAATTTCAATCATCAATTTCATCTGCGTTTAATGTAAAACTGTAAAGTGATTCAGTGGGAACAACAATATATAAACTTCAAATATAGAAAATACAGAATGATATATATAAGGAAAAGAAATTGAACTGAACAGCTATGTTACATGTTCCTGAGGTAGCTTGTTGCTATGTTACATGTTCCTGAGGTAGCTTGTTGTACTATATACTAAGGCCACACCAAGTAAATTTTATGGATGACGTCCTTTGGAGACTCCAAATCTAATGCGAGAGGGCGAAAAAAAAACAAGAAGGGCCCAAAAAAACAAGATGCCTAGATTAGAAATATACTAAGAGACGACAAATGTTAGGACACAAATTGAATGTAGTGACACAGTGTAAACAAGCAAGAAGTCTTTTATTCATCATCAAAGCAGTAATGAATCAGATGGAACAGCAGTTGTCGTCCCGTTCTGTTTCTTTCATCGCATTTTGCAGACCTGCAGAAACAAAGCATAAAAGGCAAAATTAGTTGCTGATTAACCCTTTGCATGCATTACTACATTTCTACCTATGCAAATAGTCTATAGGAGCGTTTGAGAAAGAATATCAATAAAGGTGGAACCAAACAGAATATGTTTAGAGCTATTCTACATAAGTTGCGTAATGTATTTAAGTAGGTAACAAATGTATGCCTACCTGGC